CTCTTTTGGTCCAGTTATAAGGATAATTGTGTTTCTTTACAATGAGTTGTAATCCATAACAAAGACTGTAATCTTTCATCTTCATCAGCAAATGCCTCAAGTCCTCTTTGCCTTCAGAAAACAAGCTTGTGTCACCTGTATACCGTCCTCCAATCCTCCTGTCGAATTCTCCACATACTCTATCTTCTCAAATTATTTTGCTCAGCATACAGACTGAATACATATGGTCCAAAAATACAACTGTGATACCGTGAGACCTTTCCTGACTGTCCCTTGGTTCTGCATAAGTGCAATGAAGATTTCTGGAATCCTCATTCTCCACAACGCCATGATTCACGTAATCAAATGCCTTTGCATATTCAGTGAACACAAGTAAACATATTTGTGTTATTCTTTTCCTCCAGTAAAGAGCCATCTGACATTAGCAGCAATAGCCCTTGTCCCGTGCCCCCTTCAGAATACCATTTGAATTTCTAGCAGCTCTCTGTTGATACACTGCTACAATCTATTTTAGAAGTCTCTAGTAAAATTTTCCTTGCATGTGAAATTAATGATATTGTTGAATAATGCATGCAGTCTTTTGGGTCAACTTTGTCTATTACTCAGAAAAGAAGTCTGGAGTTAATGACAGTACCAGTGAAGAAACCAAAATTGCATTGCCCATTGCTCTTGAGTTCACTCTGATTCACGTCGTAGTAATCCTGTAAGGGAGAGTACAACTTCCTCTATAAATTTTCCTAAGCTATAAATCTTTCACAAGTGGATGGCCACATCGGTCTTAGATGGAGTGGCCAGGGGTGGGGGTTTGAACCACTAACTTTTGGCTTAGCAGCTGAGTGCTTAACCTCTGTGTAACTAGGGATCCTACCCATGAATGCAGATTAATTGCAATGTGTTTTACTATTAGGGAGCCCTAGTGGTGATGACAGATCCTGGTTCAAGTTCACCAGCTGCTCCATGAGAGAAAGATGAGGCTGTCTGCCCCCATAAAGATTGACACATTTGGAAATCCTAGTAGGTTTTGTATGTGTTAGACCTGCCTTAATGGCAGTAGGTTTGGTTAAGTACGTCTGGTGGCACAGTGGTTAAGCATTTGGGAACATAATATAAAGGTCAGAGATTTTAATCTACCTGTTGCCTCATGGGAGGATATTAAGGCAATGTTCTTTCATAAAGATTTTACAGCTTTTGTAAACCTATTGAACAATTTTACTTTATCCTATGAGGTCACTAGGACTGACAATCAACTTGATGACAGGGCATCTGTTAGGGCAAGCCATCAAAGATGGCAATACGTTTATAGGTTTATAGACCTCCCTTATGTAAGTTCCCTCCCCCCACCCCCACAGGTATGTTAATACACTAAATTGTAATTCTAGACATGTAAAGTAGCATGAGAAATATCAAAGTCAAAACAAGTTTATCTTTGACTTTCATTCAAATAGAGTCTGTGTCCACCTATAAAGATTTTACATCACTGCACTTGGAACTTTGTTCTGTAACCTGAAATTTTGATAACATTTTTTCTGATGCCAATACCTCTCTGCAGTGCTACACACTTGGAGAAACACCCTTCTACATTGCATTTCACTGAGGGTAGAACACCCTAGCTCTCTACAGGTCATTGAAATAGATAAGAAAGGTGACAGTCATGAGGACATAGCAGAAGAGTTCTGAGCTCTCGGTGGAAGACTTCCTTTAGTGGGAATTTGAGTCATGTGAGGTCATCTTCTAGCCATATTTAAGTAATTCCAAACTCGGCCTGCTGAGTAAGCCAGGAGATGCAGGTATGACAGACAGATGAAGATACATTGAAATGTCTCCGGAGTGATAGTCAGCTCAGTTCTAGGGGTAGTTGAAGGAACAAAGACCTACCCTGGAAAGAGAAAAGCCAAGTGTTTTGAATTTCAACTTTAACTTTGCGTGGATTCAATCATATCCCCATTTTTTTCCAGCAGCCATCCCTCTCCCACAAAAACATTTACGCGCCAAACTACGTTTGTCTTGAGATGTTTAAAATTGTAGCTGGAGTAAACCAGAAGGTCCTGGCAGACTCGGGATGATTGGTGCGGCACGTATGATACGCTTGGCTGTTACTCTATGTGATTGAAACAAAGCAAAACAAAAACAAAGAAATGGTCCAGATTTGAGGCCGGAAAACTCTATATTTGTCCTAAGTCTGTCAAAAAGCTTTCTACAGGAAGTTAGGCAATCCCTGAGCCCCTTAAAGTTATTTAAAATCATTATTTATTAAAAAACAAGGAAAATGAGCTGATTCCGGGAACCCAAGAGGAAAGCGAATTTTGGGAATGATGAGGGCAACAAATGTATAGATGTGCTTTACACAATTGATTTATGTATTGTGATGAATTGTATGAGCCCCAATAAATTGATTTTTAAAATAAATAAATAAAACGCAGGGGGAAAAAAACATATCTAATGTACTTCCTCACTTGTTCTTAGTAATCACTGTTAAAGTAAAATTATATATGCATATATATAATCTTTATGTATACACATATATATGTATATATAAATGTATATTTGTGTGTGTGTTTGTATTAGCCTCTAGAGAGGCAAAAGTAGTGATACATATATGTATAAGAAAGAAATATATATCAAGAGAGAGCAGCCACAAAAGAGGGCAAGCCTAGTCTGGCTCCAGTCCATGAGTCAAATGCTAAACTGAAAGTCCTCCCCAACTCATACAGTGGCTATTTAACAAGGAAACAGAAAGTAGCGTGAGGAGACCCAGGAGAATGTATACAAGGCTGGTAGGCAACATAACCAGATGTAGACAGCCTTCAGGGTCTACAGGTAACATGAGGGTCACCAGTCTAAGTCCCACAAAGCCAGAAATAGGATCCAGGCCATCAGAAAGAAGAGGATGAAGTTATGCACAGTCTCTATGATGTATGTGAAATAAGCTATACCCCACAGAAGACATCATCAGACTGTGACTTAATTAAGGGATTACACTCATCTTAATTTTCTAACAACTTCTCGAATGCTCACAGAAATCCCAACAATAGAGTTGTTTACATTATATTAGATCACATCATGGGGTGGTTTCAAATGACAAACTACTGAGAATTCTAACCCAGTCAACTTGACCCCAACTTAACTAGCGCTACATATATATTGCCTTTTATCATGTCCTCTATGTGCAGATAACAGATTAAGAAGCAATGGAGGGATTAGCCTGTTAAAGCAGGGTATTACATTAATGATAATTCCTTTTAATCCTCTCAGTTGACTGATTAGAAAAATAAATCACATTGGTCTCTTACCTGTCAAAGATCGGAATGTAGATTCATCAATAAAAGCCCTCTGTGTTAATTAGGGTAGGCTAGAGAAACAAATCCATAGAAACTCATATGTGTATAAGAGAGAGTTTTATAGAAAGGGTAATTGTACATTAAGAAAGCATCCCAACCCAGTGCAGTCCACGCCCATAAGTCTGATATTAGCCCATATGCCTGATACCAATCTATAAAGTCCTCTAAGTTCAGACTGACAGAAGCACATGCAATGATGCTGAGTGCAGGATGATCACAGGCCAGTGGGTAGAAAGTCTTTGGATCCAGTGGTGTTGGAAGCATCTCAGCGCTGGCAGGGGTCTCCACATGGCTTCCCAGGTCCATGGTTCTGGCTGCATCAGGCTGGGACCCCGTGGCTTCTCCTCAGGAATGTCTCACAGGGTGTCAGCCTTGTGTCTTGGCAGTAAAGCGTCTCCAAGGGAATGATCAGAGTGAGAAAATATCTCCCACCTTCAAGGAGGAAGTACCAGAGTTTTCCCAGAATCCTAAGAGGAAGGCCATGCCCACAGAGGCCTCATTGATTATACCATGATTGACAGGTTAGACTCCACCCCTTCACTCCCAATCCTCAAATTGACACCAGATTATGTAACTGCCGCGCCCTGCTAGAAGCCTAATCTCTTTGATGAAAATATGGATGATAATTTCTCAAAATGATTGCTTAGGAAAAAATGGCATAAAAAGAAAGACATGTGCTAGTGCTGCTTCTGGCAGTTCCCTCTTTTTTGTCTTTGTTCCTACAATCCTCTTTGCTTCTTCACTGCTCTTTTTTCATACCTTCCGAATTTCTACCTTTATCACAATCCAAATTAAACCTGTCTCCTTATTTCTAATCACCGTAATGATTATTCCTTCTCTGCAAGTGCACATATTGTAGAGATATATCGTGCATAGGGTTCATCATTTCCCATTTTGCATACTTATTCTCCATGCTTGTAATTATGCTGTTTGTTTCTTTAAGAGTTAGCATTTCCATGTCTGTAGCACTCTTAAGAGAAAAATCCATGACTGCTTCATGTTTGTAACTCCTACAATACCAACCATGATGTATTGCATATTATAAACAAACAAACTAAAAAGCTCACTACCATTGAGTGGATGCCGACTCATAGTGACCCTACAGGACAAGGTAGAACTGCCCCCATAGGTTTATGAGACTGGAATTCTTTATGGAGTTAGAAAGCCTCGTTTTTCTCCATTAGAGCAGCTGGTGGTTTTGAGCTTCTGACCTAGCTGGTAGTAGCCCAAATAGTACCAATTATGCCACCAGGGCTCCTTTGCATCCTATAGTCATTCAATAAATGTATACTCATTTTATTAATGGATATTCATTTATCTGGCAATGATTATGAAAATTCTGATATTTCTTGTTTTTAAAGTACCAATAAAATGTGTTACCATAGGAAACAGACTCAGTTTAGCTCAGCTAACAATGTTGATTAACACTTTCAAGAATTATTACCTTAAATCATATTGATCAGACTTGTAATTCAACCTTCAGGGGAATCATCATAATGATTGAATTTAAGTGTATTTATTTCAACGCATTAAAAAAAGTCACAATCATCAGACATTAAACACTCAAACCACAGTGATTTTCAATGTAACATCTCCATGACGGAAAATAAATTGTGGCATTCATTTTATGTTTAAAGACATTTTTTTTTTTTAATTTCCCAGGTGTAATGGGAGAATATGAGCCGAAAATTGAGGTCCATTTTCCTTTGACAGTTACAGCTGCTAAGGGAACAACTGTTAAGATGGAGTGCTTTGCACTTGGCAAGTAAGTACACATTTTCCCATAATTAGCACAATCGTTTATTAAAATCTGACCTATCTTATTTTTGGATGACTTACTTTGCTACCTTTCAGATTTTCTGAATTTTCTTGGTGGGTATATATATTTTAAAAGGAGAATGGAGTATAGAAATTAAGATTACTTCCTAGCACTTCCCATGGACAATATTGTATATAATTTTGCTACTTTAGTATAAAGGAAACGTCTCTAAATAAACTAAGAGCTTTATATTTCATTACTTGTCTTAAAACTCTTGCCACATCCCCAAACTTTATTCAGCAATGATTTAAGTGAAGGAGGATAGAAGGAAAAGCTATGATTACTCATGGATAGGATATAGATTTTGATAAGGCATAAGACAATATACAAAAATCATAAGAATAACTTTTGCTTCAGTATCTTCTGTAAAAAAATTATAACTTGGTAGACCCAGCTATCAATATGTACACCAAATAATCATTCTTCAAATCAGAAAGATGATTTATATCACATCATAATGCCTGTAATCCTTAATTATTCTATTTCTGATCAGTTAAACCACTGTTTTGTAGTCACTTGCCAGTAATGGTTGTGATATGGATATCGGGAGTAGGAGGGAGGAGAGCATGGAATTTTGACTCTGTGATCAGAGTATTATGATGCATTTAAGCAGAGCCTTGATGTTGCTTTTAGGAGAAGACCTCAGGGTCCTTTCTACACTCTATCATTCAAGTTTGCATAAATGCATCTCTATCAGAGTTCCAAGCATACATTGTCAGTTTTGAGATAATTCCTATGACATAGTAATAAATTCCTTGGAGATAAAATGCATGATACATAAATGTGCTTATTAAAGTAGGCTTAGCCTATGGATGAGGAGAAAGTTAGTAAATATGAGAAACTCAACTAGAAAATGAGGTTTAAGAAATTAATCAAGGAAATATGATGTTTTCTCATTTCAAAACTGATAAAATAACATCTATGTGCAATTTTACTCAAATATAAATAGAAGCATATCATCTTAGACTAAAACCAAAATAAATTGTGTAGTCCTTCTTATCAGCACAAGAGACCCTACGTAGAAATATATTTCAAGAACTTAATATTCATCTAGGAGATATTTTAACAAAAAAGTCACGGAAGCTTTCCAAAATCAATGATAAATCAGAACTAATAGTTGACTCAAACTCACAGTGACCCTATTGGTGGATGTGCAGCAGCCTCACAGGATTGTACAGGTTGTGATCTTTGTTGAAGCAGACTGCACATCTTTCTTCCACAAAGTGGATGATGGATTCAAAAGGCCCAATTTTGCCTATCCCCTCAGCACTTAACAGGGCCTATAGTGGGTAAAGGCATGAAATTGAATAGTACCTTAAAAGTCTTATTTCATAACCTGTTACGGTGTCACAGACGTCTTAAAACATGTCTCAGATAAGAAGCTCAATTTTGACAGAAGCAGAAGCAATGTATCTTGGCTTGATGCCCAACATTCTAGTATATCCTGCAGTTAAATAATTCCTAAATGCCAGAATTTATTTTAAAGCCACAAACAAATGAAGGTCATATTGTAAAACAAATTTGAGAACTAGATTTATACAGAAAAAATAATATAGAATTTTTCCCCAGGCAGGTTTATTTAATAAGTCAGTTGTGTTTGCTTTTGAAAGCCTTGAAATATGATTGGTAAATTAATCCTATAGCTCCTTTGATTCTAGATAGGATCCAATAGTCAAATAATTTATCTTCTTTTATTAATATTTTATTGTGATTCAACTTCTCTGCCTTCCTTGGCTCTCCCGTCTATTTTTTTAATGATGTGGGGGAGGGTAAAGTGGCAATTTCAACCAAGCTGGTCTGTGTCATTCATCGGATGTCTTTTCAATACATGTCACAATTATGGGGGTGGGGGGAGCTTCTGAAGATTTTGCTATCCAGGCTGGTATTCCTCCACCCAGTCATTCCACACAGAAAGTTTTAACCATAAGTTCCTCTTAGAGCATTAGGACCAAATTCTGGTCTGGAACAGGTGAGTGCCTGGCACAGAGTCCACATTCAAGACTACTTTTTGAATGAAATAAAACACTCAGAAATGCTGTGACAATTTAATCCAATCAATTATTTGTTATACATGGTGATAAATAATAACTTGTTATTCCCAACGCCGTTGACTGATTTCTATCTTCTCAAAGTCATCATGTACTCTATACCTCTGCTCACCTCCTAATTTAGTTCTGATTTATTTAGTTCTGTGTCTTCTCACCTCACTCTATCATGTGTCTCCTTGTTTGCGGCCCACATTTTAATCCTAGCTTTTAATTTTACTCTAAAACTAATCCTATGCTCAAATCACTCATTATTTCATGGAACAAACCAATAAGCCCTACCAGTCCTCCTACACCCTCCTTGGCATTAATTTTAGTTCACTTGTTCCTTTGTCCCTGGGTTTGTTGACACTCACTTCCTTTTTCCTGTCTCCCCTTCTCCTTTGTCCTCCTGGAACCATCAGTCCCATTGTTTTCTCCTCCAGATTGTTTATCCCACTTATCTAGATAGACATGCAGAGATAATAATATGCATAAAAACACAGAGCAAAACAAAGCAACAAAAGAAAACCAAACAACAGCAACAAAAAGGAAAAGCTTGTAAATAGTTCAGAGTCTGTTGACCTTTAGGAGTGTTTTCTGGTCGAGTCTGATAGGGTGCCACACCTTGACCCCCACAGTCTATTTTTTGTATTCCCTGAGGATTTCATTGCTCTGTTCTCCTTGCTGTTCTGTTGTATGCCTTTAGTGTTTTGCCCCAGTGTGTTGGGGTCAGAGCGGGCACAATTCCTGCACTGTGTCTCCACTGTTGTCCTCCATTGCGCTATGGGTCAGTGAGGGACATCATGTCTCATGATGGGGCTGGCCCTATGGTCCTCTCTGTGTGCATTGGCTGTTCTAAGTAGGAATATCTTCCTGGGGTGGGGGGGTTATTGCACCGAGATGTGCCCTACTTTCTCTCCTTCTCTCTTCATTTGCTCCTGTGTGCTCTGATCAGGCATGTCCCTCTCCCTGAGCTGTAGCTTCAGTGCTGTCCTCTGAAGTGAATTCTGCAGGGAGGTGGGGTGGGGGTCAAGCAACCATCCACGTAGTTGGGATTGGGGGCAGCCCCTCAGACATTTATATCAGTCCCCTGCTTAATGCCGGTATGTTACATTCACGTCTTGGTGAACCAGGTTGAAGTCTATCTTTATACTAGAGTGGTATCTGAATGCTACATTCATTCATCTTAAGGTAGCATCACATTGGAGTTCAGTCTTAGTCATTAGATAGGCCTCAACTTCATTCTTGGATCAATCCTCTCCCTGTTGCACTTTATCTCTACATGTACTTGCTGCTCATCTCTTTTATTCCAACTCTATATGGTGAAACCAAATTAAAAAATGACAAATGTGCCACCATTTGCACTTTCTCTAACCCATGACAGAATCCTTGAACTTTTGACAGGTCAACCTAGAAAATTTCTTTGAGGGTTAAAAGATACTCTCCAAATAGCTCAAAATATTGTCCCATTGCTCATAATCTATTTTCTCCTCCTGTTTAAAAATTATCTCTGTTGTTTAATGCTTTCCCTAGAAGTGTTCAGTTTTACAACTGAGAGGATGCAATTTATTCTGCCCTAGTCACATAAATAACTGTAAAGCATAATAGCTTATATTTATCCTGCATTTAAACATGAAAACAGCAGAAGATAAAAGGTATTGCATTATTGAATTTTACTATCTTTTAATATTTTACTTAAGTTCACCAACCTGCATATTTTAAACTTAAGTTAAAAAGTGATAGGAAATCTATAAGCTGCAAGATTTCTTCAAAGAAACACCTACTTCAATCTGGATTTAATAAAAATAAAATGGCTTCTCAAAATGGCTTCACACTAAGAGTACACTATTTATACTCCTAGAAATCTCCTTTAAAATTGACTTGTCCAATCCTAAGTACAGAATTTATAAAGGAACTGTGATATGCTATATTTGTAATGATCAGCTCTACAAATGTATTCTTTCTTCCACAAAAAAAGGTAAATGCTTAAGAAGAATCCATAGGAAAATAGAGGTGTGTATAAGTTTAAGTCTAAGAAATACTCCCACAGCCACAGTTGATTCTGATCCACCATAGGACAGTGTAGCACAGCCCCCGTTGGTTCTGAGACTAAATCTTTGTGGGAGTAGAATGTTCATCTTTCTCCTGTGAAGCAGCTGGTCTTTCCAAAATGTTGGCCTTAAGTTAGTGACCAATGTGTAACCTACAGCAACATGTAAGAAAAACGTTGGGGAAATCAATTACTTTGCAAAGAAAATATCATTTAAAACATATGGGGGATTATTATCAAGTGATGATTTGCAAACAGTGCCCCTCCCATGGAGTTTCAGTTTCAATTATGCTAGCAGGGTTAGATCGGATATAATATAGAAGTACTGGAAAGTAAGAGTCCTTACGGGAAGAATGGGTTATCTGGAGAAACAGAAGAAGCTTCCTCTCTCTCTGCACTGCCAAGATTCTAATACTCCCCATTTGTCTTCTATTAATTTAGATCCACTGTGCCCTGAAAGGACAGAAATAGTATAGGTCAGGGTTGGAAATGAAATTTTTAAGCATTCCCTTTTGCTGGCCGCTCATCCACCCACACTCTGTCTGAATATTAAGAGTAGAAAGATAGTGCCAGGCAGACTTAATTAGCTGCCTCTTGGCAACAGTATTATTACATAACATCTTAAAGTGGTTGATGGCATGTGCAGGAAGCAGAAATAAAGACTGTTGCCTTTCCTTACTTAACATTCAGCACGGAGACCTTAGCTGGGGAAGAAAGAGTGTCTTTGATACATCCCAGGTCTGCTTTTAAACAGTAGACACAATTCTCTTGAGAAGAAATAGAGAGAGGAAGTCACAGGGCAGTGCAAATAAGGAATCTCTTAGGGCAGTGGGTCTCAACCTTCCTAATGCCGCAGCCCTTAATACAGT